ACATGCTAGAGACGATGTGGAGAGAAGGGAACCCTCCTCCATTGCTGGTGGGAATGTAAAATCTGGAAATCAATCTGGAGCTTTCTCAGACAGTTAGGAATAGTGCTTCCTCAAGATCCAGCTATACCACTCCTAGGCATATATCCAAAAGATGCTCAAGTATACAACAGGGACATCTTCTCAACCATGTTTGTAGCAGCTTTATTTGTAATAGCCAGAAGTTGGAAACAGCCCAGATGTCCCTCAGTTGAGGAATGGATACAGAAATTATGGTACATCTACACAATGGAATATTACTCAGCGATAAAAAATAAGGAAATCATGAAATTTGCAGGCAGATGGTGGGAACTGGAAAAGATCATCCTGAGTGAGGTATCCCAGAAGCAGAAAAACACACATGGTATCTACGCACTTATAAGTGGATATTAGACATATAATATAGGATAAACATACTAAAATCTGTACACCTAAGGAAGCTAATCAGGAAGGAGGACTCTGGCTAAGATGCTCAATCCCCATTCAGAAAGGCAAAGAGGATGGACATCAGAGGAAGGAGAAAACAGGGAACAGGACAGGAGCCTACCACAGAGGGCCTCTGAAAGGCTCTACCCTGCAGGGTATCGAGGTAGATGCTGAGACTCATAGCCAAACTTTGGGCAGAGTACAAGGAATCTTATGAAAGAAATGGGAGATAGTAAGAACTGGAGAGGACAGGAGCTCCACAAGGACAGCAACAGTTCCAAAACTCTGGGCACAGGGATCTTTTTTGAAACTGATACTCCATCCAAGGACCACTCATGGAGATGGCCTGGAACCCCTGCACAGAGATAGTATGGCAATTCAGTATCCAAGTGGCCTCCATAATAATGGGGACAGGGACTGTCTCAGACATGAACTGATTGGTCTGCTCTTTGATCACCTCCCTCTGAGGAGGGAGCAGCCTTACTGGCCACAGAAGAAGACAATGCAGCCACTCCTGATGAGACCTGATAGACTAGGATCAGAGGGAAGGGGAAGAGGACCTCCCTTTTCAGTGGACTGGGAGAGGGACATGGGTAGGGAAGAAGGAGGATGGTATTAGGAGGGGAGGAGAGAGGGAGGCACAGGGGGGATACAAAGTGAATAAACTGTAATTAATAAAAAAATTAAAAATAAAAAAGAATCTAAAAAAAAAGAAAATGCCTTAGCTTTCCTACATCCTAATCTTTTTTCCCTTTTCTTTTCTCATCTATCTATCTATTCATTCACTTTACATACTGATTTTTAATTTCTTTTATTTATTACAATTTATTCACTTTGTATCCCAGCTGTAGCCCCCTCCCTTGTCCCCTCCAAATACTATCCTCCCTTCCTCATCTCTCATGCCCCTTCCCCAGTCCACTGATAGGGGAGGTCCTCCTTCCCTTCCATCTGACCCTATCATATCAAGTCTCAACTACTTGTATTGTCTTCCTCTGTGACCTGGGAAATCTGCTCCCTCCTCAGGGGGAGGTGATCAAAGAGTCAGCCACTGAGTTCATGTCAGAGACAGTCCCTGTTCCCATTACTAGAAAACCCATTTGGAGACTGAGATGCCATGGGGTACATCTGTTAAGGGGTTCTAGGTTATCTCTATGCATGGTTCTTAGTTGGAGTATCAGTCTCAGAAAAGACCCCTGTGTCCAGATTTTTTGGTTCTGTTGATCTCCTTGTGGAGCTCATGTCCCCTCTAGTTCTTTCTGTCTCCCCCTTCTTTCATAAGACAACCTGCACTCTGCCCAAAGTTTGGCTATGAGTCTCAGCACCTGCTTGAATACCCTGCTGGGTAGAGTCTTTCAGAGGCCCTCTGTGGTAGGCTCCTGTCCTGTTCCCTGTTTTCTCCCTCTTCTGCTGTCCATCCCATTTGCCTTTCTAAGTGAGGATTGAGCATCTTACTCAGGGTCCTCCTTCTTGCTTAGCTTTTTGGGTGTACAGATTTTAGTATGTTTATCCTATATTATATGTCTAATATCCACTCATAAGTGCGTAGATATCATGTGTGTCTTTCTGCTTCTGGGATACCTCACTCAGGATGATCTTTTCTAGTGCCAACAATTTGCCTGCAAATTTCATGATTTCCTTGTTTTTAATTGCTGAGTAGTATTCTCTTCTGTAGATGTACCACAATTTCTGTATCAATTCCACCATTGAGCAGCATCTGGGTTGTTTACAGCTTCTTGCTATTACAAATAAAGCTGCTATAAACATGGTTGAGCAAATATCTTTAATGTGTACTTGAGCCTCTTTTGGATATAATGCCTAGAAGTTGTATAGCTGAATCTTGAGGAAGCGCTATTCCTAATTATCTGAGAAAGTACCAGATTGATTTCCAAAATGGTTGTACAAGTTTACATTCCCACCAGCAATGGAGAAGGGTTCCTCTTTCTCCACATCCTCTCCAGCATGCATTGTCACTTGAGTTTTTGATCTTAACCATTCTGATGGGTGTAAGGTGAAATCTCAAGTTTCTTTTGATTTGCGTTTCTCTGGTGACAAAGGACTTTGAACATTTCTTTAAGTTTCTCTGCCATTCAGTATTCCTCTACAGAGAATTCTTTGTTTAGTTCTGTACCCCATTTTTTAATTAGATTACTTGGTTTTTGCTTTTTAACTTCTTGAGTTCTTTATATATTCTGCATATTAGCCCTCTGTCTGATATAGGGTTGGTGAAGATCATTTCCCAGTCTATAGACTGTCGTTTTGTTCTGGGGACAGTGTCCTTTGCTTTACAGAAACTTTTCAGTATCATGAGATCCCATTTATTGATTGATGATCTTAGAGACTGTCTTGTTGGTGTTCTGTTCAGGAAGTTGTCTCCTGTGACAGTGAGTTCATGGCTCTTCCCTACTTTTTCTTCTAACCGATTTAGTGTGTCTGGTTTTATATTGAGGTCTTTGATCCACTTGGACTTTAGTTTTGTGCAGGGTGATAAATATGGATCTATTTCTATTTTTCTACATGTAGACATCCAGTTAGACCAGTACCATTTGTTGAAGGTGCTGGGGTTTTTTGTTTGTTTGTTTGTTTGTTTTGTTTTATTTTTCATTGTATGGTTTTGGCTTCTTTGTCAAAATCAAATATCCGTAGGTGTGTGGGTGTATTTCTGGTCTTCTGTTCAATTCCAATGAGCCACCATTTTGTTTGTATACCTGTACCATGCAGTTTTTATTACTATTGTTCGGTAGTAAAGCTTGAGATCAGGGATGGAGATACGTCCAGATGCTCTGTTGATGTTCAGGATCGTTTTGGCAATTCTGGGTTTTTTGGTTTTTTTTTTTATTTAGTATTTTTTTTTATTTTTTTTATTATTTTTTTCTTTTTAGTTACATTTTGTTAACTCTGTGTCCCAGCTGTATCCCGCTCCCTCATTCCCTCCCCAACCCCACACTCCCTCCCTGGTCTCCTCCCTGCCCCTTTCCAAGTCTACTGATAGGGGAGGACCTCCTCCCCTTTCATCTGACCCTGTTTTATCAGGTATCTTCAGGGCTGGCTGCAAAGTCCTCCTCTGTGGCCTAACAGACTGCTCCTCCCCAGGGGGGGGGGTGTCAAACAGCCTGCCCTTGAGATCCTGTTAGAAATAGTCCGTGTTCCCCTTACTTTGGAAAACTACTTGGTTACTGAGCTACCACGGGCCACATCCGAGCAGAAGTTCTAGGTTATATCCATAGATGGTCCTTGGTTGAGTGTCAGTCTCAGAAAAGACCCTGTGCCCAGATATGTTTGGTCCTTGTAGAGCTCCTATCCTTTCCATATCATACTAACTTCCCTTCTTTTGTTCTTTCCATATAAAGTTGAGAATTGTTCTTTCAAGGTCTCTAAAGAATTGTGTTGTTATTTGATGGGATTTGCATTGAATTTGTAGTTTGCTTTTGGCAGGATGGCTATTTTCACTATGTTAATCCTACAGATCCATGAGCATAGGATGTCTTTGCTGTCTTCTTCAATTTCTTCAGAGACTTGAAATATTTTTTTCAACAGCACTTTCACTTGCTTGGTTAGAGTCACACTAAGGTACTTTATGTTATTAGTGGCTTTTGTGAAGGGTGTTGTTTCCCTAATTTCTTTCTTGGCCCCTTTGCCTTTGGCATACAGGAGGGCTTCTGATTTTTCTTGAGTTAATTTCATTTAACTTTTATTAATGTTTCATTGACAAATATGGGTGCTCTTGTATTTGAGGCATAGCTGTTTAGAATTGTAATATTTTCTTGGTGGAATTTTTCTTTGATGAGTATGAAGTGTCCTTCCCCATTTCTTTCGATTAATTTTGGTTGATAGTCTATTTTATTAGATATTAAATTGGCTACTCCTGCTTGCGTCTTGGGTCCATTTGCTTGTAAAACCATCTTCTAGCCCTTTATTCCCAGGCAATATCTATCTTTGTGACTTCGGTGTATTTATAGCATGCAAAAGATTGTTGGGTCTTTCTTATGCATCCATTCTGCTAGCCTGTGTCTTTTTATTGGAGAGTTGAGTCCATTGATGTTGAGATTAATGACCTGTGGCTTTTAGATCCTTTGATTTTGATTTTGGTTGTGGTAGCATGTTTGTGTGCTTGGCTACTTGCTGTAGTGAGCTTATTTATTTCCTGTGTTTTCCTGAATGTAGTTACCTTTCTTGGGTTCTGTTTTTCCTTCCAGTATCTTCTGTAATGCTGAATTTGTGGTTAGGTATTGTTTAAATTTGTTTTTGTCCTTGAACATCTTATTTTCTCCATCTACGATGATTGAGAGTTTTGCTGGGCATAGTAGTCTGGGCTGACACCTGTGTTCCCTTAGGGTCTGCATGATGTATGTCCAGACCCTTCTGGCTTTCATAGTCTCTGTTGAGAATTCAGGTGTGATTCTGATGGGTTTGCAAACCCATCATATGCTACCTGGCCTTTTTCCTTTGCAGCTTTTAGTATTTTTTCTTTGTTCTATATACTTACTGTTTTGATTATTATGTTGCGGGAAATTTTTCTTTTTTTCGTTCTTATTTTTTAGGTGTTCTGTAGGCCTCTTGTATGCTTATAGGCCTCTCCTTTAAATTGTTGACATTTTCTTCTATGATTTTGTTGACAATATTTTCTGGGCCTTGGAGGAGGGAATCTTCTTTTTCCTCTATTCCTATTATTCTTAGGTTTTGTCTTTTCATGTTGTCTTGGATTTCTTGGATGATTTGTGTCAGGAATTTTTTAGATTTAACATTTTCTTTGACGGATAGATTGATTTCTTCCATTGTATCTTTCATACCTGAGATTCTTTCTTCCATCTCTTGTAGTCTGTTGGTTATGCTTACCACTGAGGTTCCTGTTTTCTTCCCTAAGTTCTTCCTCTCCATGATTTATTCCATTTGTGTTTTCTTTAATTTTTCCAATTCTATCTTCAGATCTTGAAACATTTTATTGATTTCCTTCACCTGTCTGACTGTAATTCCTGCTTTGACTGTAATTCCTGCTTTTCCTTCAATTCATTCACCTGTTTGTTTGAATTTTCCTCTGTTTCTTTTATTTCTTTCAGTGATTTAATTATTTTCTCTCTGAAGGCCACAAACTGTTTGGCTGCATCTTCCTGTTTTTCTTTACAGATGGCCAAAATCTGTTTGACTTTATCTTCCTCTATTTCTTTACTCATTTTATTTGTTTCCTCCATTATCTTCTGCATAAGCATAGATGTACGGTTATCTTCCTGTATTTCACTTATGTTAGGGTGTCCAGAGCTACTTGTCCCTGGACAACTGGGTTCTGTAGATGCCATATTGCTTTGGCTTTTTTTTTTTTTTTTTTTTTGGTTGTGCTTTTATGCTTGCCTCTACCTATCTGGCTATCTCAAGTGTTAGCTGTTAGTTTCTGATGCCTGTTGGAATCCTGTGATGGGGAGAATCCCCTTATCAGGAAGATGGTTATTCCTGAAGGAGGCCTCCTCAGCTTTTTTTGGTATGGTAACTGAAAGGCCATTGCTTCTAAGGGAATTGCCACAGCTCACCTCAGCTGTATGAACCTGTGTGGTAACAGGGTAGTTGGTAGTCAGGGTGAATGGGGCTGTCCTCTCACCAGGAGAAGTCCTAGAGATAGCTGCCACTGGTTTTCATGCTCTGAATTTAGTGAGCTGCTGCTGCTCTTACACTGTGTTTACTGGACGCAGCCCTCTTGAAGAACCAGGGAACCCCACGGTTTGGTCAGTTTAGCTAGGCAGACAGGTTGCACCCTGGAGCAGTGTCTGGTGGCTGATCCCATGGGTCCTAGCCTTCTGTAGATCTGAGGTTTGAGCTCTGTGCCCCAGTACCCATGAGGTAATCAGTGTCAGGTGAGCATGGCACTCAGGTGTGTGGCAGGAGGTTAGAAGCCAGAGTCTGCAGGAACCCAGGAACTTTTCCTGGGATTAGCCGGGTGTCCTGAAGTAGCCCCTGATATTTCCACCACCATGGGGTTTCCTCCCAATAGGAAGACCCAGTCTGTGGTGTTTTGGGGCCCACAGTTCAGTCTGGGATGGTGAGTAGAGCACGCAGGCGCAGGCCAACAGCTCCATTCTGGTGGACTGTACACCTACAGGAACCCAGGACCTTTTCCAGGTATCTGAGGTACCAGAGGTCAGTTGGTCCCGATTTCTTCCTTCACCGTGGCATTTTCACTCGACTAGAAAACCCAGTCCCTGCTGTTGTGGGGCCCACATTTAAGTCTGGGATGGTGATCAGAGCATGCAGGTGTGTGTCTCTGGGCTGGCGACCAAGTGCCTGCCGGGACCTAGGAATTCTTCTGGGGTGTAGCTGGGTGACCTGAGAATGGATCCAATTGCTTCCCATGCCGTGGGGTTTTCTCTCACCTAGGAAACAAAAAACGTTGATGTTTTAGGGCCCGCAGTTCAGTCTGTAGGTCACTGTGTAATCAGTGATGTCCTACTCATGAGACACAGTGTGCTGCCATCTTGGAGCCCCTGACCCATCAGCCTTCTTTTGTCTATTCTGTGTATGTTTCCTTTTCAGTAAAACCATCTCATTTCAATAGTTATATAAGTAAATAAGCACTCTGTATTACATGTTTGCCGTGAGTAGAAAAATGCCATCTTCTAATTGGTATAGTACATTGTCTCCAGCTACCTAAAAGCAAAGAGAAATCTATTTGTTATTGCTTTCCTACTAATGATGAGAATTATAAACATTGCCAGCTTAGAATTATGTGATTCCAACTTTATCTTAGAGAGGATTAAGAAAAAAGAAAAGGTATAAAATAAACAGATAGTTAATGTGATCTGGGTCCATAATCATATTATTTTGGCATAACATGATACGTAATACCAGCTTTTAAAGCTAAGGTTAATTTAATAATATCATGGCATAATTAATTACAGTAATCTCAAATTTTTAAATTTATATTTTGTGTGCCTACAGGACTACCCAAACAAGCCCATGGATTTGGACTTGAAATTCCTAGGCAATCTCTTTATATTATTTGGTTTGGCATATGTAATTTAGAGTATTAGATGGTAGCTGAATGTTGAGACTGTTTTCATAATAATTTTGTTAAGAAACAAATGTGTTTTTGTATTGTGGTAAGAGCATGTAATCTAAAATTTACTCTTAAAACATTTTAAGCTTGTAGTTAAGTAGTATTGAATACATTTTTACGGTTGTAAAGCAGATATCTAGAACTTTTTATTTCCCAAGCAGAAGTTGTGAATTTATTTTTCAACTCTACTTTCTCCTGCCTTGAGCATCTAATAACCAGCATTCTTTCTACAAATTGAACTACTTTCAACGCCTTATGTTAGTATAGTTTTCTGTTCCTGCCTTATTTGACTTAGTGTAAGGTCAATACCCATTGTGCTATGTACCAGAACTTACTTCCTTTTAAAGCCTGAATAAGATTTCATTGTATACATAGGCCACACTTTCTGTTTCATTCTTTGATGGGTATTTAGGTTACCTTTACATCTTCACTATTGTGAATCCTGCTGCTATGAACAAAAATCCTGAAAAGAAATGAATTACCTTTTTTCCTTCTGAACAGCAGCCTTGCTAAACAATACATGCTTTGTTTTCACTAAGTTTTTGCGATTTCTGTCTCCTCACATTGCTTCTCACTGGCCACCACAAACCTACAATATCATCGTGTTTTGTTTCCTATTTGGTTACCTCCTAATTGTCATTTATTTACTGACTTATGTATTTATCAATAGAAGTTTGTTTGTGAAAAGGAATTGAGCTAATTGAGGGATGAATGAAGGTAGTGGCCATTGTTTTAAAAACCACATGTGTGAGAATTACATACCCACACACATTTGAATTTACACAAATAAGCAAACTTATTCTTCCTCAAATTAATTGTAGTGCAATCACCTGTATTTGACAGCATTTTCTTTATTCAGAGTATTATGAGATCAGAGAGGAAGGGGTTTTTGTATGGTTTGGTTTTGGATTTTTTGCCTCTGGAATTCTCTGAAAGCTAAATTACTAGAAACACAGAAAGTACAATTTTAGTAGATTTTGCAGACAGATATATCTGAGTTTGAAGGGCATCTTGAGATATATGAGAGCCTATCTCAAAAAATAAATAGGTAGGTAGGTAGATAGAAAGAGAGAAAAAGAGAGAGAGAGAAATAGAAAAAAGAAAGAGAGAGAGGAAAGAAGGAAAGGAAGGAAGGAGGGAAGGAAGGTAGGAAGGAAGGGAGGGAGGAAGGAAGAAAGAGAAAGAAAGAAAGAAAGAAAGAAAGAAAGGAAGGAAGGAAGGAAGGAAGGAAGGAAGGGAAAGTCTTAAAGTCTTAAAAGCGGAATTTAGACAGCATTTCTTCTTTGGGACTAGAATATTTTCATTCTTAGAGATTTTTTTTTCCTCCAGATTTTACATCATTTACAGACTTTACCAGTTGAATACCCTTATTAAAAATCAGAAATTTGGGACTGGAAATATGCCCGAGCAGTTAAGAACACTGGCTTAGCTGCTCTCCCCAAAAATCTGTGTTTTATTCCCAACACCCACATGGTTCAGAAAAGGCTCTAACTTTAGTCTCAGAGGATCCGATTACCTCTTTTGCCATTCACAGACACTGCATGTACATGGTACACAGACATATATTCAAAGAAAACACCCATACACATAAAATAAATACATTTTTAAAAAGAAATCTCAATGTCCACATAGGATCCCTTTAAATCTTTTTGGACTCTTAGATTAGGGATACTCAGTCTGAATTACCTGGAATAGTCATGGCATGAAACAGGTGCTTAACTCTGGCTATTAATATCACTGTGTAGTTTGATCTGTCAGAGTTTTACCACTTTTGAGTGATAATGTCTTATCAATTTAAAATATCAAAACTATTAACAAAATGTAGAGATTGACACCAAGAAAATATTTTCCTTCAGCACTGGAAAAAATACATAAGAGGTTTATAGCTGTGTTGTTAGCATGTAATGTTGTTGGGACAGGCATGTGCTCTCTAAGATAACTGATTTTTTAATTAGCATACAAGGTAGTGGATTTTGGTATTTTCATACTTTGTTTTTGTCGATCTTCCCACACTTTGGAAGTCCTTCCTCTGCTTTCATGTAAGATGACTAGTTTGAATAGAACAAGGTTTATTTGAATGTCAGTATTGGAAGGAAAAAGTAGTATATTTGATAATTTCAGAGTTAGTTACAGTATGTGTTAAACATACCTTGGTATGATTAACATAGGGTCTCAAGAATTCTCTATAATTGGAGCTATCCTTAGTCTTTACCTAGATGCTAAGAATTTACCACCTCTAAATGTAACTTTTTTTCTTTTTTAGAAGATTGATGTATTTATTCACTTTACATCCTGATTGCATACTCCTTCCTCTCCTCCCAGTCCCACATCACACACTTCACCCCGTTCTCCTCTCTCCTCCTCCTCAGAGAAGAGAGAGGTCCCCAGTGGGTACCAACCGTCCCTGACACATTAAGGCCTGCAGGACTAGGCACATCCTCTCCCACTGAGGCCAGACAAGGCAGCCCGGTTAGGGGAACAGGATTCAAAGGGAGGCATAAGAATC